CTGAGCCTTCCGCCTCGCTCTGGCCTCCCCACCCCCTCACCCCAAATAACCACGTCCCTTTTGTTGATTTTCCTGGCATCCCAGCTTCGTCTGTCCCCTTGTCATAAGATGCAGCACTACACACGCTCTCAACACTATATAGCAGACTCTTTTACCTTAGTAGCCTGATTGCATGCATGTAAATGGGGGGAGGCAGGGTCCAACAAATCAAGGCTATGCATAAACAGAAAACAAAAGCAATATTCGTAAAGCTAGGCAAGCGAGTGTAGCATTGGAGAAACATAAGGCTTGAGGCTTATTGATTCTTTAGATCACAACTGTTTGGATTCGCTTTCCTTCTTAAATATCGGTGTACCATTTTGGCTTCAAGAAAATCTCTTCTTGCTTCTGCCCCTCTCTGTGGGGAGGGGTCGCTTAACTCAGGGACGTGATGTTAGAACGGCCTCCAGGGGGCGCCACAATGCGCTTGCTGGCGGAGCGGACCCCCTCATCCACTTGGGTGCCTGCAGTGGGCAAGACATTCCCAGGAAGAGAAAAGGGAGAGAGAGCGGGGTGTGGACAAGAGAGAAACTGGGTTAATTTTCAGAGTGTCAGCTGGCAAGTGCCTTCCTGGCCTCGTCTCCCAAGAAACTTCCATTCTGGTGTGTCAAGTATTCCAGACATTTCATATCCACCGTCCCCCGGAATCCCGTCTCCACCAGGAAAAGCTAGGTTCTTATAGATACCGTCTCAGCATCATAAAAATGATACTTAAGAAAAGCATTCCTTAAGGTAGGAGAAATCACTGCTTACATCCGCTGCGACAAGGAATGTGTCCTTGTACGCTCAGATACCGGACTTTGTCCTCACCACTATCCTTTGAGGAAGCTACTGTTATTATCCCCATTTCACAGAGGCAGTGACTGAGGCTGTGAGAAGTGAGGCAAGTTGCCCAAGGTGTCACAGCTTGGCCTGGTGAGGGTCGGGGCCCCTGCAGCCTCGGCACAAAAGGAAACCCTGATGTGCACGTACTCGTGTCCTTCACAGAGAAGCTGCCGAAATTGTAAGGATGACGTCAGCCAGGGAGCGATTCAAAATGGCAGCCACACTGGCAGCAAATATTGTGACAAACATAACCTTACCTGTGGCGACGTCACCTCCAAACTTTCAGCCTTTTCCTTTTGCCTCCCTCCCCTGTCTCTGTCTCCCCCTTGATTTTTTTTACCCCCTTTCTCCTGCTTCTGCCATTCCTTACTCCTCTTCCCCGATACCTGTTTCCTCTTTACCTGTCCCTGTCCCTTCTGGTCTTGTTTCCCTCACACTTCGATTGTTCATCATAGACACGCAAATCTCCATTTATTTTTCTCCCCTCTTTAAGACTACTGGTTATGGAGCAAGTAGATAATTATTTTCTGCTAATATCCGTTCTTAAAGACTAGGTGAATGGTACGGCTACCCCAGGGTAAGTACTTAATCAACAGCATCTACTTCTAGCACTATCATTATTACGAGAAAGGGGAGAGGACAGGAAAAACGCCAGGTTAGGGGCACCTAAGCAGCTCAGGTGGTTAAGCGTCTGATATCGGCTCAAGTCATGGTCTCACGGTTCATGAGTTCAAGTCCCACATCAGGGTTGCTGTTGTCAACGCAGAACCCACTTCAGACCCTCTGTCCCCCGCTCTGCCCCTCTCCCACTTGCACTCTCCCAAAAATAAATAAATATTTTTTTATAAATAAAATAAATAAATATGCCAGGTTAGAAGAACCTACTGCCATCTGAGCTTTAACCCCGGGCAAACAGACAGAACACCTCCATACACAGCTCCCACCGTCTCCTGTGGAAAATCACCCTCGATTCATAATGGAAAACATCTTGCCCCCACCCCACCAGGTGTGATGTCTAAGCAGACCCGGTCCTCATTTAAACCTGACCCTTGACCTCCCTGAGCCTTACGTTGCCTTCTCAGCAGGACTCTCTTGATTCGGCAAAGCTTCCTGCTTGCTCCAGGCACCCTCTCCCTACAGGTGTCCTGCCAGCTCGTAGGGGCTGCTCCTCCCTTGTCCCCTTCCTTCCTCCCTGCTCACCCTCCGGCACCATCCACTCACCCGACAGGCTGAATCCCGACTGGTGGAGGTTCCTCACAGGCGGGTTGGGCCGTGTGGGAGAGCCCCGGGTGGAGCCCGCGGGGGTGCCCCCTTTGGGAGTGGTGGTCAGGTCAAACACTGGCCCGTCGTACATGCCCCTCGGGACGGCGTGCAGGTCTGCCATCTGCAGCAGAGAAAGCGTGTCACCCTTTATTCTGTCAGCATTTAAGGTCTGTGCCAGGTAGCAGAGATAAATGAGTGAATTAAGTGTGTAATGGGAGCCAGAAAATGAGAGTTATTTGAAGGAAAGAAGGAACATAAGAGGGGTGTGAGGACAGAGTGACGGTGCAACAGGTCATTGGAGACCTCTTGAGACAGGTAGGCTTTGCTTTTTTAAAGTATTTTTTCATGTTTATTTATTTTTGAGAGACAAGAGAGAGGGAAAACCCAAGAAGGAGAGGGGCAGAGAGAGAGGGAGACACAGACTCTGAAACAGGCTCCAGGCTGTCAGCACAGAGACCGACGCAGGGCTCGAACCCACGAACTGTGAGATCATGACCTGAGACGAGGTCGGACGGTTAACCGACTGAGCCACCCAGATGCCCCAGGTTAGCCTCACTCTTAAGGAACAAAAGAGCCTGTTGTGTTGTGGGGCTGGGGTTGAGGGAAGGAGAAGGCTGCGAAGTGCAGAGGACCGGTGTGGAAGGCAGCGTTCCCAGCAGAGGAAGCAGGTGGGGGGAAAGGTTAGGGACGGAAGGACCACCTGCACACCAGAGCAGAGGGAGCAGGGAGGGCAGCAGTTTGGGACAAGGTCGTAAGTGCTGGTAGATGTGAGATCCCGTGGGAGCTCCCCCGACACGCTCCTTAGCACAGAGCAGAGGTGCCAAACCTCAAAGTGAGTATCCTGTGGTCTGACCCACGGGCCTCTGGCTGTGGCTGTGAACCCGACCTGGAACTGAGCAGCCAGCCAGCAACACCAGCCGTGGGTGTGTGCTGTGCTAGGCCTGCTGCCAGGAGCTGGGGGGAAGGGTCACACAACACCTTTCCCCTCCCCCAGCCGGCTCACGGTCTATGGGACACACACCGCCTCCACCCATGTCCTCCCACTGGCTGCCAGAGGAGCCCAACAGTGAGGGGCGGGCTCTACCACAGAGCCTTCCCTGCCCCATGTTCACAACCCCGGTGCAGGCACAGGGGCAAAGCTCTTCACGTTTGCAGGTGCTGACGATTTGGGTGGGGCCGTCTCTATTTCTGTGTTCCCTGAAAAGCCTCCAGACCATCAACATTTCTTTTGGTGCAGAATCTAAGTCACATTAATGGGAATCAAGAGATGATGTACATGGGAGGTTGGGTTTCATTCTGTTCTCTATCAGGCCAAACCTGGCGTGTGGAATTTTACTCCATCCCACGTAACTTTAAACGATCGCTAATAAAGAGGTAAGAACGGTGGAGGGATTTAAAACGTGGTCATGAAGTAAACAGTGGAGGCTACAGGGATATTGAGACTACACGACAGAGGAGTCGGGAAACACACACATGCCCTAAAAGATGTGCACCTCGTTCTGTGCGCGTGCAGGGAGCGGAACGGAAGGAGCTGGTCGACCTTAGGGAGGGAGACTTCCGGCCGGCAGGAAGAAGCTGGTCCTCACAGACAGGGCTGGTAGCTGCCTCTGGTGGGGAGGCTGGAAGCCTCCCCTGGGAGCTGGGTGACCAGTCGGTGGGATCACTGGGGGGTCTGGGAGAGGGATGGGGTGCTTGCATATGGAATTTCCGTGAGCCTCTCTCTAATGGCCACTGTGGTGTGTGCCCAAACTCCTGCCTCCAGCCCCCAACCTCACCATCATGACTCCTTCTGACCCGTCCCATGTGCACACATGACTGTGTGTCTTCTAACAGACAAGGTTGGAACCAGGGCTAAAATTCCACCCCATCCCAAGGCTGATTTAACCCTGCTCTGTGGAGCCCAAACCTTACTGGAAGGTGACCTTGTGATTGGTGTGGGGGTAGCAGGGGCTGAAAAAAAACAGGGTTCTGGGCCTCACCCCTATATCAACTGGAGCTGATTGGTTTGTAAAGTGTAGGTGGGTAGGTAGGTAGGTAGGTAGATACATACAGAAGAAATAGGTGTCTGCATATCTGTTTTTCTACCTGTCTATGAAACCAGGGACATCCACAAGGTTTTATGTGAACCATACAACTAGATAAAAGAGTTACAAACATTTGGCCTCTAGAGGAACAATGGAAGAGATGGGACCGGGAGGGGTGGGTGTGGGCTGCTAATTCTCACTGTAAGCCTTAGTTATTTTCTAAAACTATATAACATTGGGGCTTCTGGTTGGCTCAGTAGGTTAAGTGTCAACTCTTGGTTTTGGCTCAGGTCATGATCTCATGGTTCGTGGGATCAAGCCCCTCATTGGGCTCTGGGCTGACAATACAGAACCTCCTTAGGACTCCCTTTCTCTCTCTGCCCCTCCTGTGCTTGTGCATGCATGCTCTCTCTCTCAAAATAAATAAACTTCTATAAAAAAAAAAAACCTAAAAATATACATATAAACATTATTTTCAATTATTATAATTTCAAATTATTTTAATTAAAAGTACTATAAACGTGGAGGAAAGTCATTTGAAAAAAAGGTTTCTTGGGCCAAAAAAAGCTTTGGAAACCCCCAGTTTATAGTACCTTACATCTGTGCAGTTGTCCCTTGGGAAGAGGCCACTGCTGTGAATTTCCTTGGGAAGGTCTACAGCACACAGAGCCCTCCTGATCTCCTGGGTACCATCCCCGTGGCTGAATGGGGGCAAAGCCCCTTCCCCCACCCCCAGGCTCCACCAGCTGTTCTCACCTTCCTCCGAGCTTTAATACGCTTGTAGACGTAGTCCGAGAAAGGGCTGCAGGGGATGAAGCGGCCGGCCCCTTGGGTCACGTGCAGGTTGCCGTCTTCCAGCATGATCTTGCCCTGGCAGATGACCACCAGAGGAGCCCCACGCAGCTCCAGCCCTTCAAAGATGTTATACTCTGCAGCCTAGAGACGGGGGTGAGGGGCAAAGCCACGGTTGTAGGCACAGGATGGGGCGGAGAGGTACGTGGTTTTCCTGTGCTTGGGACCCTGCCTTTGGCATCACTATGGCCAAAGCACCAGGGAAGCCAGGAAAAGCTTACAACACCATCTGTGAGCTCTTCATGGGCACAAGCCACCAGGGGGAGACAGTAGAGACTAGACTTGCCAGCATAGACAAGCATCAGTCTTTGGTAAGGTCCTCATGCAGAAGTACATTTTGTCACTGGCGGTGCTCAAAGAGAAGCTCGGGAACTCTCGGGGATGCTGTGTTTGGCACTCTTGTACGGGGTGGGTGAGTAGGTGGGCTGGATGACCCGGAACTGAATAATGTGATGTGACTCAATGTCTAAACAAAGGCCATCCCCTCCCAAGATGGGATTTCTCTCCACTACCTTCATTTATTCAGTAAGTGCAAGGCATTACTGTAAAGGGTTAAGGACATCGGCTTGGAGTCCAGTTGTGGGGTGTGTGTCCTAACTTCACCATTTACTTGCTGCATAAATTATTTAATTTCTCTGTACCTCCCTTTCCTTATCTATAAAACGGGGATGGTAACAGTGTCTACCTGTAGAAGACTATTACAGAGATTCCAGGAATTAAAAAAGCACGCTCCACTGCCTGAAACGTAAATGCTTTAAAAATACTAACTCTTTTTACTAACAAGGATTAAGCCCTTTCCCTTAGGTACCGGGCTTTAATTATTACCTCCACGTGAAAGTCCTCATGAGGACGGTGTCAGTGCTGTTCAAGTTTTTCTCTGTTCTTTCTCCTTCTAGGTACGGGGATCGCTGCACTGCCTGCCCTCCTGGGGTGAGGGGAAGCCCAGGACTGGCTGTGGCTGGTGCGGCGTGAGAGGAAGTGATGGGTACCACTTGTCTAAGGAAAGCTTCCAAGCCAGTTCTCCAGGGACCGCGACCAAGTCGCCGGCCTCAGCCATCACGGACTCGTGTGTGGAGACGGTGCCTCCCTGTCTGAGTGACCGAGATGGGAGGGGCCCTCTGCTGACTCAGCCGGGAGAAATAACCTGCTGAGGCATTACATCCCTGAGAATTGGGAGGGTTGGTCACTGCGGCCCATCCTGGCCCAGTTGGCCGGGGGTACCCCACATCTACATGTCTCTTCCGACTGAGTTCCGTGCACACCTTCTCCGTTCTGCTCCTCTCCCGCCAGCGCGAGCCTTACCGACTGGTGGTTCTTGGCAGAGACGATCTTCACTGCATCTGGATCCCAGATCACCAGGTCGCTGTCAGAACCCACAGATATTCTTCCCTTGCGGGGATACAGGTTGAAGATCTTGGCGGCATTTGTGCTTGTCACAGCCACAAACTGGTTTTCGTCCATTTTCCCTGTGGCCTATTGGAATACCAAAAGAAGAAAAGTCAGTGCAGGGCTTCTGAGCTCGGGGCAGGGTGATCACAGACGGGCCCCTGAGAAGATGAGCACAGAAGCCGACCCACAAGCCGAACAGCTGGCTGTGCCTTTCTGGCTGCCAGGCAAAACGGTTAGTTAACACATGGCTACAGGAGGAGGCAGTTAACTGCTCCTGAAGTGTGCGTTTTTTCCTGGATATGTGCATACGGTTACTTCTTTGCCTTCACATTCCAAAAAGAATTACAGGGGCATCTGGGTGGCTCAGTAGGTTAAATGTCCAACTTCAGCTCAGGTCATGATCTCAGTTTGTGAGTTCAAGCCCCACATCGGGCTCTGTGCTGACAGCTCAGAGCCTGGAACCTGCTTTGGATCCTGTGTCTCCCTCTCTCTGCCCCTCCCCAACTCACTCTCTGTCTCTCACTCTCTGTCTGTCTGTCTCTCTCTCTCAAAAATAAACATTATAAAAGCACAAATGCATTTAAAAGAAAAAGAATTCTAAATTTCCCAGTAAAAAGTAATGTGGTTATGAGCCTATTTTTTAGATATGTGTTTGTATTTGCATGGTCATAGGATAAATACAGAAGAGCCTCACCCAAATGATAACCATGGTTAACCCTGGGTTCTGGAATTATTGACTGACTTTTGTTTTCTTTTGTATGTGTGCTTTTCTATGCTTTCCAAGTGCTCTTTAATAAGAGTGTATATGTGGGTAATTAAAATATTATATATATATATATATACATATACATACACATATATATATTATTTTTAACAATTCCACATAGACCAAGAGAACTGTGCATGTATGTTCATAAATACACGACCATGTTTTAAAAAATCAAAATCTAACTATGTGAGAGACAAAAATACTTACACTTTTCCTCCTCACAAAACAAAAAAATTCTGGATACAGTAAAAAGAATTTAGTTTCAAATGTAGCTTTGAGCTTCCTAGGAGTGAAGACGAGGAGAGAAACTTGGTGGCTTACACTGGGTAGATGAATGAGGCATTAGTTTATATGCAATGCATGTAGCTCAGAAATGAGTGGCTTTAGAGATTAAAAAAATTTTTTTTAATGTTTTATTTATTTTTGAGACAGGGAGAGACAGAGCATGAACAGGGGAGGGTCAGAGAGAGGGAGACACAGAATCTGAAACAGGTTCCAGCCTCTGAGCTGTCAGCACAGAGCCCGACGCGGGGCTCGAACTCACGGACCGCGAGATCATGACTTGAGCCGAAGTCGGCCGCATAACCGACTGAGCCACCCAGGCGCCCCTAGAGATTTTAAAATAAGAGAAGTGGGGCTCCTGGTTGGCTCAGCTGGTAAAGTATGTGACTCTTGATCTTGGGGTTGTGAGTTCAAGCCTCACAATGAGTACAGAGATTACTTAAAAATAAAATCTTAAAAAAAATGAAATAAAAGGAAAAGGAAGTGATCAACTTAATAATGAGTTAATTATTAATTTTACTAAAACCTTTGGTCCAGCCTTCATTTGCACAGCTCTTTTGTCAGGCTCTGTTATGTTATTAAGGAAAATAAAACCAGGCCAATGTCAAAAGACACTAGTGGGCAATCACTTGTACAGCCTGGATAAACACACACTCAGTCAAGAGCATCCTTGATGAGCAAGTTGACTTGAGTCTCTTGGACACAGACCCCCTGCTTACCATTTCAAGGGGTTACATCAGATGAAGGATCTGCATGTTTGCTTCCTAGTTCCCAGTCTAGATAAGGAGATCTTGTCAAAATCTCAACATTCATCACTCTAGAAGCAACATTCCTAAACCACCTGAGACACCTGGTTCCAGAAACATCTCAGCAGGCATGAGAGTTCACCTAAAAAAGCAGCAGCAGCAGGCGATGCTGATCTGGCCCTGGCCCCCATCCCATGATCTTGATCCTTACCACAGCCTTGTCCCAGATGACAGACATCCGCTCTTCCACACCATTGGTGCCCTCGGGGATGGCTGTGAAGTTGTCCTTCCCAATGGCTTTCTGGGCAGTGCTGAAGGTGCAGTGGGCACTCCCAGAGAGCTGCAGGTCTCCGCTGGCAAAGGAAAAAAGCTCCATGTAAACCAGAGAGGTGGCTAGAGTCACCACGGGGGACAAGTGTCCAATGTCAGCATTTGGAAGCCGAGACTTGAGTTTAAAATCCTTTCTGTACCTCTTACCAGCTGTGTGAGTGTAAGTGAGTTCTCTCCCTCCCTGGGGCTCAGACAGCCCATCTGGAAAACGAGGGGGCAGGGTTAGATCATCTCTGTGTAACGAAATAAAAGGGACCCAAACGAATGATGCGACTGGTCCTGTATGTCCTCGGGGAGCACCAGCAAACGAGACTCCCTGTAATTTCGCTTAGGTGCTGTTCAAAATAGGCAAATGGCCTGACCCTCAGTTGTTTAGCCTGTGAAGTGGAGACGACAGTCCCTCACTCATAGTTATCATAAGGAACCATGAGACTATGTGCGTAGCCTCACACAGTGCTTGGCACATCATATGTGTAAACCACTATTCCCATTATTAATATGATTACGGTTGGTAATTTATAAAATACGACGGGGAAGAGCCTGCTGTCTGTGCTCAGGACTGCAGGGGAATTCTCCATGTGTTTTCCTCACTGCAGACCCCAGTCTAGCTGATGGATGGGCTGCTCCAGTCCTCATCCCTCCCCTAGCCCCATGATGTTTCTACATGATACGTGCTGCTTGCCAATCCCACACCAACCTGGCCAGCAAGGAGTTGATGTAGTCGGGAGTGGTCGGGTCAGGGCTCAGAGGCGGGGATGTCACAAATGCAGCTGCCTTAGCCCAGTTCTTGCTCCAGTAATGGGTTCCATCTGTGCCAAGACTGGCAGTGATGGGCTCACCAAAGACCACGTTCCCTGCAAGGGTAGGAAACAGGCGGTGGGTTTGCATAACATATGTCCTGCTCCAGGCCCGGGTCAGGTAATCATAGCCCCTAGCCCTACTCGAGGCTGTGGCTCTGAAAACAGGTAGGCCTGGGTTCAAGTCCATGCGCCCACCTTCTCTAAGCCTCTGCTTTTCTATCTGCTAAACATGAACAATTTTGTATTCCCTAGTTCACAAGAAGCCGTTGGTTATAAGACGCACCTTTAATTCCCAAACCCTGAGGCAAATTAATATTTGAGGCAAAACAAAAAATGTATACTGATTACGAGATTCATCAACATTTAGGAAATATTAAAATGTGGACTAGATCAGTCTTAGAATGATGCATAAGACTATGTCTACTTCTCAGGCTTCTGAAAATGAAAGGATTTGATACATACAAAGTATCTGGCACACAGATACTCAGATGCTCAGTGAAAGCGATTTCCTTATGCTACTGATATTCCTTCCCATGGTAGGGGCCTAAACCCCCAATGTGCCTGCATCACTGGGAACTGCTAGATCATGCTTGTTGCAAGGAAATGTTTTGGTTCCACAAAGTTAAGTCCAATCCCTTGGATAACAGGCTCTCAAGATCTTTCCATCATGCCTCTTACTCCGTAACCTAAAGCAAGGAGTGATCTGCTCAAGGACACCCGATAAAACCTGGGACACATCAAAGATGGGGCTCGCTCCTTAGACTCTGTGTCTGGAATTTGGGGCTTATTCGCCCAAAACAAGCAGTGGGGAGGAGGCATACTGGGAAATAAACTGATCTGAGCTGACCTTCTTAAAGAAGAAGGGATAAAGAGACAGAAGGTAAATGCTGTCTCATAGAAGGTTGGTTAGTACCAAGTTTCTCTGTGCCAGAATCTTGGGCAAAAAATGGTCCATAAAGCCCTGGACTTCACCAGCTTCAGTCCTCCATCTCCCACATTCAAGTTCCTCACAATGTCAAAGTTTAGGAAGGCTCTATAGCCAAAATTATAAGTAGGTCTTGCCTTCCTTCAACTCCAATCTATTTGTTTCGGTTCCCTGGAATTTTTTATCGAAAGAATTCTAAATATGCTTCTGGTGTCATTACAAGAGTGAAGATTGATTTGTGATGCCTGCCATGGGCAAAAGAAGGAAGCAATGACAATGATTCATCTATGATGGCCCTGCTCTTTGGGATGGCTGGAAGAAGCAGCCACACAAGACTAATGAGAATTTTAAAGGCTCTCTAAAACTATTTACCCAACTAAAGCATACAGAACCACAAAGAAAGAAAGAAAGAAAAAGTCAAGACAAGCCCTCAGGTACTATTAAGAGAAAAACAATCTTTAAAGTAGAAGAACTCTCCCTTTGGACTGTCTTTAGATGGAAGAGTAGAAGAAAAATTGTAATTATAGTTGGATTGGAACACGAGCTCTCCCAAATGGGAGATCCTGACACACTGTGCTTCAATAAGAAAAACGGGGATAATAATTTTTCAATCTGAAAAATGGGGATGATAAAGGCTATTTATTTCTCAAGGTACTTTGACAATTCTACAGAATACTAGACCTGAAGTATTTATGTCAGTGCAGGGCATACGGCTGGTCCTCATGTAACTGTGGACTCCTAATATTAATTCTGAGCAACCATACAGAGCTACTTAAGAGAACACTGGTGACTGGGGGCACCTGGGAGGCTCACTCAGTTAAGCATCTGACTCTTGATTTCAGCTCAGGTC